GTTGAAATGAATCTGCTAATTGTTCTGGTCAACTAATGATATTCAGCTCTTGGATATTATCTTGTGCTATTCTCTTAATTATTTCCTCCTTTAAAAAGATTTATTTTTTCTATTCTGTCTGCTTTCTGTTCTGAAGATATTCCTAATAGTATGACATTGGTAATCTTGGGATGACTTCTAGGTCTCATTTCTTATCTTTCATATTTTTCATCTTAGTCTTTATGTTATATTTTCTAAGTGATTACCTGGCCTTAATCCTCTACTGGTTCTTTTTTAGTAACTATATTTTTAATTTCCAAGAGCTCCTTCTAATTATTTCTTTTTTACGGAAATACATTCTTGCTTTATGAATGAAAAAAAAATTATTGAATCTTTCTGAAGAAACTAAAATTCTTCTTGTCTCTTTTTTTCCTTGAATTATATGATTTCAGAGTTGGGGGGATAGCTCAATGGTGGAATGCTCGCCTAGCCTGTGTGAGACCCTTGGTTCAATCCTTGGCACCACATATGATAGTAGTAATAATAATAATAACAATAGAGAATTACATTCTTCTTTCGGGGTCAGTTTTTCCGGATTGTACTTCTTTATCTTCTCTTTTAGGTTGCAGATTTTTTTTTTCAGATGCTGTTAGTCAGCTTTTCACTGCTGTGACCCAGATAACTAACAAGAACAACATAGAGGAGGAAAGATTTATTTTGGTTTCAGAGATTTCAGTCCATGGTCAGCTGGCCCCATTACTTTGGGCAGAAGGTGAGGCAGAACATCATGGTGGAGGGGGAGGGGGAGGAAAGCTGCTCAGTTTGTGGCAGCTGGGAAACAGAGAGGGAGGGAGAGAGGTCAAGGGACAAGATGTAGTTCCCAGGGGCACAGCCCCCATGAACTACTTCCCTTAATCACATCCACCTGCCCATTTTTCCTACCTCCACCCAGTAGTCATTCAAATTATGAATCCATCAGATGATGGATTAATCCAGCAATAAGATTAGAGTCCTCATGATCCAATTACTAGCCCAAAGCCCCATCTCTGGACATAGCTGCATTGGGGACCAAGCTTTCATCACATCAGCTTTGGGGTGACATTCCAGACCCAAAAGGTACCTTTGATGATCTATCATATTTAAGAAGCAATAAGGAGAGAACTACTTGGGAGTCCTTGAGTAGAGCATGTTGACTGGAATACTTTGTTCAGGAATGAATGAATGATAGAGATGACCTTGACCTAGAGGGTCACCAAATGCCAGAATTATTTTGGAGTAATTCATATTGCCCCAGTTCTCCCCCAATCTTTCAGGTTTTTTTGTTTGTTTGTTTCTTTGATAATAACATGTGTTTGTTTGGAGGTAAATTCAGATCAGCAGTTATTTTCAATATAAGTGAAAGTGCGGGTACATTCTTCATACAAAGATTACCAATCCCAGAGGCTCAGGAGGCAGAGGCAGGAGGAGCTCGAGTTCAAAGCTAGCCTCAGCAAGTTAGTGAGGTGCTAAGCAACTCAGTGAGGCCTTGTCTCTAAAAAAAATGTTAAATACGGCTGGGGATGTGGCTCAGTGGTTGAGTGCCCCTGAGTTCAATCCCCGGTTCCCCCAGCCAAAAGAAAAAAAAAAAGATTTTCAAGCCATAAAGGACTGAGCCCAAAGAATCATTCTTGCCTTTCTCTAAAATCAGCATCTCTGAGTCCCAGACTCTCCTAGAGCTCCACATATTCAAGGATACGTTTTGCTTTTGTCTCTAATCCTTCATCTGTTTTCCATCTTCTAGAAAGTTGTTTCACAGTCTCTCCTTTGCTGATGATTGACTCTTGCTCTTTATGATTTTTTGATTCATGCCCCTTTTAGACTTTTGTAATGATCAATAGGGATTTTAAAAGAGGAGGGTACCAATGAGCATAACCAGTCAACCATCCTAAATCAAGATTCCACGATTCCTTTTAGCACAATGAACATCCTGCTTGTCTTGCACATCATGCAATAAATCTCACTTTATTTACTCCATTTCAAAATGTATAAATTTTGAACATGTTAAATCACTTTGAAAAAGTAAGAAATGAGAGCCGGGCATGGTGGTGCTGCTTGTAATCCCAGCAACTTTGGAGGCAGAGGCAGGAGGATCACAAGTTAAAAGCCAGCCTAGGCAACTTAGCAAGACCCATTCTCAAAATAAATGATAAGAAGGGCTGGGGTTGAGGCTCAGTGGTATAGCATCCCCTGAGTTCAATGCCCAATTCTGAAAAAAAAAAAAAAAAATATATATATATATATATATATATATATATGTGTGTGTGTGTGTGTGTGTGTGTGTGTACACACATATATACACACACATAAAATATAAACTTACAAACTTACATATAATATTTGTTACATATATTTGTATGTATGTATTTAAATATGTGGGAAACCTCCTAAATAAATTTGTAGAAAAATAAGGATCAACAGAGACCCTGATGGGAAACCAACAGATACCACCAGCAAAACCACAAGAATGGGGGGTATAAAAGTCCTGCTCAAGATACTGATTTGTTTCATTTTTATTGTAATTAACTGATTTGTTCAATAAATAAGCATATCTTGACTACTCAATATTCTTTAGACTTGCTTTAATTCTCTCTCTCTTTCTCCCCCCCCACACACAAACACACAAACACATACACACATACCATGTAAGAAATCGCAACCTTATAAAAAGGTGGAATGCCCATCTTTTCAGCATATAATGACCCACTCTCATGGTAAATGTCAAAAAATGGCCCTGCTTCAGCAAGAAAATCCTAAATAACTTATTAACTATTGAGTGACTATTTTATTTGTCACAGCTGTGTGAAAAAATCAAAGATGGTTTCTACCAGAAGGGTTACCACCCAGAAGTGAGAGAAAATCATATGTATTCTAAAGAAAGAACATTGGCTTGGGAATCAGACAGACCTGATTTTTCATCCACCATTCATGAGCTTTGTGACATCAGGAAAACTGCTTTTCCTCTTGGAGACTCAATCTTCTCTTTTGCAAAATGTGTATAAGGATGCAGCAGTAGCTTTTTTGACCAACCTGCACTTAACAACTCCCAAGATTGATAAGCACTCTTCATGCTCCCTTCAGCATACTGGCTGATGGTCACCGATACTGAGCACAGGCGTGCAGCCCACTTACGAAGATAAAAAGTGATTTCTTGGAAAATTGGGAATGGAACCACCGTTTGACCCAGCTATCCCTCTCCTCGGTCTATACGCAAAGGACTTAAAAACAGCATACTACAGGGACATAGCCACATCAATGTTTATAGCAGCACAATTCACAATAGCTAAACTGTGGAGCCAACCTAGATGCCCTTCAGTAGATGAATGGATAAAGAAAATGTGGCATATATACACAATGGAATATTACTCAGCAATAAAAGAGAAAAAAATCATGGCATTTGCAGGTAAATGGGTGGAGTTACATAGATAATGCTAAGTGAAATTAGCCAATCCCAAAAAACCAAATGCTGAATGTTTTCTCTGATAATAAGGAGGCTAATTCATAGTGGGATAGAGAGGGGGAGCATGGGAGGAAGAGATGAACTCTAGATAAGGCAGAGGGGTTGGAGGGGAAGGGAATGGGCATGGGGTTAGAAATGATGGTGAAATGTGGTGGTCATTATTATCCAAAGTACATGTATGAAGACACAAATTGGTGTGAACATACTTTGTACACAACCAGAGATATGAAACATTGTGCTCTATATGTGTAATGAGAATTGCAATGCATTCAGCTGTCATATATAAATTTTTAAAAAAAGAATATAACAAGTGACTGGTTGTAGTGGCACACTCTTGTAATAAATACCAGCAACTTAGGAGGCTGAGGAGGGAAAATAACAAGTTCAAGGCCAGCCTCAGCAACTTAGTGAGGCTCCAAGAAATTTAGTAAGACCCTATCTCAAAATAAAAATTAAAAGAACTGGGGATGTGGCTCAGTGGTTAAGCACCCTCTGTTCAGTTCCTTGTATCAAAAAAAAAAGAAGATAACAAGTAGCACACCCATAAGGACACAGTCTTGTTTGTTCTTAAATATTCAAGTTGTACTTATTTTAATTACAAAACAATAATTTTATATCCCAGGAAAATACAAAGGCAAAATGTCAAAACAGGTCATTTTAAAATACTGTCAAATTATTTAATGATATAACTGGAAGAATTGTTATGGGGGAAGATGTAAAAATCTAAAAGCATTAATTGCTTTACAGATATTCTTATGTCCTAGACAATTTGGAAATCATAAATTATAGGCATTATAGGTGTAATGTATATAATATTTTTTAAAGACAGGGAATTTTAATCAATGATTAAGTTCTTGCCCTTACATCAAATGGCTGACAAATGAATATAGTGTTCCATGTTTGAGATTAAAACTTACAGAGAGATGCTGTGTGTTAACTAAAATACAGAAAGCATTTATTACAATACCTAACATGTAGACATTCCATAATAGGTAGACATTAATGTGTACCATTAAGGACATTTGTTATTTTATTTGTTATTTGTTATGGGTTCATTCCAAAGTAGGTTCTGGACATAGATGAGTGAGCAAAACAACATGGACACCATCTTCATGTCATCTAGAAAGTGAGGCAAACAGTAATCAAATCATCTCACATTACACAAATCCACAGCCACGAGGTCTGAGAAAGGCTATGAAGGAAAAGCCCAACAGGCAATGACAGCAAACACCAGAGGACTTGATCCATGCGGAGGGTCACCAGGAAGTGTCCTTTGAACTGTGTTCTGCAACACAGACAAAGAAAGGTCAAGGTTGAAATAGCAAGTTCAAGTACTCTGCAACAGAAGAGACCAGGAATTGGGCATTTGGAACATCCCAGAACTGCCCAGACCGACAAAGTGAAGTTTTAGTCCATTCATAAAAGCATTGATTGCAGTGGGCTTCATGCCAGCATACTTCACACACTTTATCACTCTAACCAAAAATATGTATTTGTCTTAACTAAATCCTTCTTCCAATCAAAGCTGTTAAATCCAAAAAGAAGACAAAGGAGAAAGAGAAGAAGAAAAGACAAAGTTATGTGTACCTTGGATGTTAAAAGGTGAGTCACAGCTTGTCCACTTCACCCCTAGATAGGACTCCTGGCTGGTGGTGTTTAGTTGTGGTAGTGTGGTTCACAGAGTTGAGAAATAGCTATTTTTACCAATTTCATAATTCTAGTCTTGGGTGGAAACTTCCTTGTGTGGAATCTTCCATAGTGGAATACTACTTTGGGCTTCCATTTGTTTTCTTTCCATTAATTACAGCTGGTTTTCTACTGTTGTTTTTTTTTTTTTCAAGTAATTAACACATTGATTTATTTTGTCTTGGCAGCATGGAGCCACAGTGCTTAGGGAGCAGATTTCTATATCAAACACACACACATTTTGAAAATGAATCACACTAGATTTTCTTTTTAGATTTCCCCTAAGTCAGATAATAGAAATGGGGAGATATATATTCTTGACCAAAACAAAAAACAAACAAACAAAAAAACATAATCTGCATAAACCATTAAGCCTTTAAAACCATTTGCCTCAGCCATTTTTTCTGAGAAAACATCCAGGATGTATAGGTACATGCTCATATTTCAGCCAATATGGAAGCCTAAGAAGGCGTGACCCTCATAGGTTTTCTCACTCATGGAAGAGGAAACAGGAAAAGAGAGTGAGGGTATGAATCTCATTAAAATCTGAGATCAGTTGAGTAGAGGAAAGGAACCAGGGGGATGGAAGAGGGGAGGGAAAGGGGAAATACTGGGGAATGATATGGGCAAATTGCCTTATGTGCACGTACGAATGTGTAACAACAAATCTCACCATTGTGTACGACTGGGGTGCACCAATAAAAAAAAATACATGGAAAAAAAGAAAAACAGAAAGAAAAGACATGACCCTGAAAAGTAGACTCCCCAGAGCTGTCTGTCATCCGATGGCAGAGGAAGGGGATTCAGTGTTCATAAATCCCTTTGATCTTAGCTGAGATGAAGTTCCTAAGCAAGTCAGCCTTCAGGGTTCAAAAACTCTACTCTGAACAACAAATCTTAAACTCACAATGATCCTAATTAAGAACCAGTGAGTTAAATTGAGTGTTTAGAGGCCATTTTTTTTTTTTTTAAGAACATTTGTCTAGGGTGATGCTGCCAATGGATTCTTTTCATTGTGCGGGTCTCTCTTTACAACTCTGCCCAAGAAAACTGGCCAAATCCTTGTAGTCCATTCCAGGACCACACTGAGAACACCAGCATGGATTAATAGTAAATCTGAATTATACGGTAATTTGTAAGTAACACTCCTTTAATTGCTACCAAGAATGTGAAAAAAACACTAATGGTCACCTGGGGTGGCCTAGGGAAAAAAAATCGCTGGTGACATGAGTGGCAAAACTCAATGTCTAGCTTATCCAAAAAGAACCTCATTTTGGATCAGGTGGCCTGGATTCTCATCTGGAATGTGTTGTGTATTCTGTGTCTGCTTGTATAAATCAGTTGACCTTTTTTATTTTCTCTCTTTTTCTCATCTTTAAAATGAAGAGGATATGCTAATGATCTCCATATCTTTTCTCACTTCATAATTCTAATTTTACATCTCTAAATCACTTCAAGTAGCACATGGTCTCTACATAAACTTATCTCGCTAAATGGATTCTAACTTAACTTTAAAAATGTGCTTGCTTAAGTAGGTTAAACATCCCCACATCAGGAGCTCTGAATCATGTTCTCCCTATTAATTTTATCATAAATAGCACAAAAGTAAGTTGCAACCCAGTTTTGCCTGCAGTATCATAAAATCTCAATTAGCTGAATTTAACTTGGTGAAATGTGAGTATGTGTTAGATTTTAAAACTGATGTCAATTAATTGTGCACATTCTGTCCTGGGTCATTGTCTCCTTGTCTACTTCTCGGCCCAGGAAACTGTAAATTGCCCAAGCTCCCACAGACATTCACGACTCTCTCAAAGTCTAATTCCAGACAATTTTTCCCCTGAGCTCCAAACTGATATTCAATAATGATTACCACTCACCTAGTGTCTTTTACAGATTTGATGACACACAGTCATTTTCTCAACATGATCTCTACCTTTATTACACTCCTGCAAGGTAAGCATTCTTATTCCCATTATATGTATGAGAAAATAAAGTCAAGTTGCTGGTCAGAATCACACAGATGGCTATTGTCAATGCCATGGTTCTAATCCAGGTCTTGCTGACTCAGAAATACTTTGTCTTTCCACTATTCCACAGAGTAAAAAACATAGAGATGCAGGTTATTACATTATGATGGCTCTCCTCAATCAAAGTTTCCTTGGGCACAAGTTGGGGTAAAGGCACTAGTCCAGTGAGGACAAGGTATGGAGTATGAGGTCCAGAGAGTGGAAGCCGGGCTGGGATTGTAGGTATGGGCTGGGGCAGAAACAGTTTTGTGGCCTGGACAGAGAACATTGGCTGCTATAAAACCAGATGGGAGCTAGGTGTGGTAACACATGCCTATAATTTCAGTGACCCAGGAGGCTGAGACAGGAGGATCACAGGTTCAAGGCCAGCTTAAGTTTGTGGCGACTTAGTGGGGCCCTAAGTAACTTAGCAAGACCTGTCTCAAAATAGACAATGAGGGGGACTGGGAATGTGGCTTAGTGGCTGAGCCCTTCTGGGTTCAATCCCTGGTACCAAAAAAAAAAAAAAAAGAAAGAAAGAAAGAAAGAAAGAAAACACAGAAGGAGTTGTGGAAGGATTTGAAGAGCGACTAGGAGTTTCCTAAGTTTCTTATTTTCAGGAGAACATTCTGGAAGTAACTTTAAGAATAGTTTAGAAGGAAGTAAAGAGCGATTAGAAGTAGGAAGAACAGTGAGGAAACTATTCTAATACTGAAGAGAATTCAGGCCTCAACTTGGACATTGACAGAAGGATATAAAAGGTTTGAGTGCTTGACACACAGTCACATGAGGGAAGTGGCTTTCAATGAGATTATGTGGACTCCATAGCAATTCTGGCCTGTCATTATCTTAATACCTAGTGGAGAAGGCCCCACGGCACATTGATTGCAAAGTCGACCACTTCCTGGAGAAGGTCAATGTTCTGGATTGTCCTGATAGCTACCAGGCACAAAATATGCAAAACCAGAATTTCTGGATCACATTGAGTTGCCCACCTATGTATCTTTTTTTCTATTTTTACGAAGAGATAAGAGTACCCAGTACAGGATTCCCTATCATTGGAAGTCTGTGTCATCAGACCAGGAGTAGAAAAGAAACGGGGCCATTGAGGATTGCAGACAATGGCCACCTGAAAGACATTCTTGGAGTGTCCTATTGCATGTACAAGTCATAACCTCCTCAAAGAGAAGTTTATCTCTGGGAAAATGTCAGAATGGCCTAGGTAAGGGTGAACTCAGGTCTATCTAACTCCAGAGCTTGACCTCAAACTCCATACATTCAAATTTCTCACCACTTCCACTCAGCACTCCAATCCAACAACCCCTGCCTCTCACCTGAACTCATACAGTTAGCTCCTAGGGGGTCTCCTCAAATCCACCATGGTCTCCACCCCAAACCATTCTGGTTTGGGGGGTTTGTTGTTGTTGTTTGTTTGTTTGGGGGGGTTGGGTACTAGAGATAGGACAGAGGGGCTCTAAACTACTGAGCCACATTCTCAGGTCTTGTTTTTGTTTTTTAAGAAAAGGTCTTGCTTAGTTGCTGAGACTGGCTTTGAACTAGTGATCCTCCCTCCTCAGCCTCCTAAACCTCTGAGATTCCACGAGTACACCATCGCACCCTACCCAACCCATTTTTTTTTTTTTTTTTGCTTTTTAGTTGTCAGTGGACCTTTCTTTCATTTATATGTGGTGCTGAGAATCAAACCCAGTGCCTCTCACATGCTAGGCAAGCGCTCTACCACTGAGCCAAAACCTCAGCCCCAATCCATTCTTAATACAGCAACCCAAAAGCTTTTAAAAGCTCAGTTGCATCATGTCACTCTTCTGCTTCAAACTGTCCGATGTCTCCAGGGTCCAAACCCTCCTGATAGTAGTGAGATACTACATGTCCCAGCAACCCGTGGACACTGACCACACCTGCTTTTGTGCCTTTTCTCACTCTGCTCCAGCTCCTTGGCCTCCTCCTTTGTCCCCACATCCACCTCCCCCCACCCACCCTGGGATGTTCTAACTCTCAACCTTTGCACTGTCTTGTCTCTCTACCCAGAAGAGTCTTCCTCAGATATCTGAGCCTCACTGCTCACCTCTTTCCGGATTTTGTTCAAATGTATTCTTTGCAGTGAGTCAGACCAAGGACCAATTATTAAAAACTACAAACCTCCCTCTTCCCCTGCCTCACACACAGATGTCCTCCTCAATACAATTATGCTGCTTTTTCTCCAAAACATGATTTATTACACTCTAACATGCAGCTATGGGTAGAATTATGTCCCTTCAAAGGATGTTGAAGTGCTTCAACAAATATATGGAAAAAAAATGTTCATCACCTCTAGCAATTAAAGAAATGCAAATCAAAACTACTCTGAGATACCATCTCACTCCAGTCAGAATGGCAGCTATTATGAAGACAAACAACAATAAGTGTGGCTAGGTTGTGGGGGAAAAGGCACACTCATACACTGCTGGTGGGACTGCAAATTGATGCAGCCAATATGGAAAGCAGTATAGAGATTTCTTGGGAAATTGGGAATGGAACCACCATTTGGCCCAGCTATCCCTCTCCTCAGTCTATACCTAAAGACTTAACAACATACTAGAGGGACACAGTCACATCAAGGGACACAGCAGCAAAATTCACAATAGCTAAACTGTGGAACCAACCTAAATGCCCTTCAGTAGATATATACACAGTGGAATATTTTACTCAGCAATGAAAGAATAAAATCATGGCAGGTAAATGGATGCAGTTGGAGAAGATAAAGCTAAGCGAAGTTAGCCAATCCCAAAAAAACAAATGGCAAATGTTTTTTCTGATATAAGGTGCTTGACTCATAGTGGGGTAGGGAGAGGGAGCATGGGAGGAATAGACGAACTCTAGATAGGGCAGAGGGGTGGGCGGGGAAAGGACGGAGCAAGGGGTTAGCAATGATTGAGGAATCTGATGGACATCATTATCCAAAGTACATGTATAAAGACATGAATTGGTGTCTTTATAATACAGAAACTTTATAATACATACTTTATAATACAGAAATATGAAAACTTGTTCTGTATGTGTAATAAGAATTATGATGCATTCCACTGTCATGTATTTAAAAAGTAAAACCAATTTTTTTAAAAAAAAAGATGTTGAAGTGCTAACCCCTAATACCTGAGAATGTGACTTTATTTGGAAAGAGGGTCTTTGCAGATGATCAGCTTTTAAGATGAGTTCATTAGAAGTAGGTCCTAGTCCTAATCAAGTATGACCAGTAATCTTATTTTTTTTTAAAGGGGGAAGTTTGGATACAGAGACATACACACAGGGTCAACACCATGGGGAGATGAGCCAAAGGTGAAGGTTATATTCTACCAGCCAAGGAACTCCAAAGATTGCCAGCACACCTCCAGAGTGTGGACGAGAGCTGGAGGAGAGCATGGAACAAATTCTGTCTCGTAGAAGGAGACACCATGACTTTGGACTTCTAGTCTCCAGAACTATGAGACAATAAGATGCTGTTCTCCAAGCTTCCTAGTGGAACTTTGTTATGTCAAGCTTGGAAAAATAAAATACATACCATTTGCTGTGTTTTTTTTTTTTGAATTTGTTATTTGTCTTCACCCTACTCTACCTGCTGAATTTGAAGGTGAGCATCACACAGGGAGAGATTTGCTTGTTTTCATTTGTTTTTCTATCTCCAGTGGTAAATATTTGTTGGATGATCAATAGTTGTGACTCAGTTCATATTTCTAGATGTTTCTTCCACTTCTCCCAAAGACAAAATTCTTTCGATTTTCTCCCCAATTTCCCTAGGCTTAGATATCTTCTTCAATTTGCTAATGTTGCTTCGGCCTGGAATGTCCACTCTCCCTTCTCTGTTACTCTCTCCTTGTCATTTAAGACACATCCATGTCATCCCTTCAGTGACAAATCCCCTTCCCTGCTGCTCTGTTGTTTTATTATTCGTGTGGTTGTGCCTATCCGCCTGTAAATGGTGACCTGTTTGAATTCTGGGACCATAGCCTATTCATCTTTGTATCCCCAGAACCTGGCTCAGTGTCTGGCACACCAGAGGTGCTTAGTAAATGTTTGCTAGATTGAATTAAATCTGTTTCCTGCAGCTTTTGCTCTTACTGCCCTTCCCTAGACTGCTAGCCACAGCAGGGTACAAGAGGATTAGAAAGGACTTCGCAGAGCAGAACTCAGATTAGAGCATTGGAGCGCTACAGGACTGTGCCTTTCTGCAGATTCTTTGTCTCCGTGCAATCTCGTGAGTGAGAGTTTCTTAAATTGGAACAGTCGGTGATGTTGAATCCAAACCACTCAGCTAAGCCCCAGGACACATTTGCCAGAACTTACATCAACATAAACAGCTCAATCAAAGGAGAAAGTGTGCGAATCCTCCACCTTTTTATAAAATAGAGCAAGTATCCTTTGGGGAGGGGGGAAGAAAAAAAGAAAAAAAATAAAAGGACAGTCATTTGAGTCAGCACTTCCCAGGTTGCTGGCTTTGGTTCCAGTGGACAGTCCCGTTTGCCTTTTGACCTAGTTCTTTTCCATGGAGGGTGGGAACAGAGTTGTTTCCTTCCACTCATCTTTGCAGGAAGGATGCATCTGAGCTAGCTCCAGCAATGAAAGGTGTGTTTGGTGTGGGCAAGCCACATTTAGCCTATTTGAATATTCACATAGGTATGGGCTGAAACCACCTGAATAGAAGCAGCTTTCCAGAAATTCTCACTGAATAGAACTAAAATATTAACCACGCCTTTTAAGGGATAGCTATTGGTTTCCAGAAGGTTCTCTGCTCCTCTCTGCCTTTGTGTTATTTATTTTATTTATTTATTTTGTTACTGGAATTGAACAAAAGTGCACTTAACCACTGAGCCACAGTTCCAGTCCTTTCTTTTATTATTATTATTTTTTTTGAGACAGGATCTTGCTAAGTTGCTTAGAGCCTTCCTAAGTTGCTAAGGCTGGTATGAACTTGTGGTCCACCTGCTTCAGCCTCTCAAGTCACTGGAATTACAGGCGTGCACTACCATTCCGGCTCCTCTTTGCTCTTCAGAGTCATTAAGGCTTCAGTTTTGCAGGCTTTACTAGAACACCATTTATAGTTTCTCTCCTTTGTCCCATCATAGTTAAGTTAGCTGCAAATTCATAAGAATAATCATTTCATTTACTCTAAGGATATGCATTTGATTTAACCTGTTTGAGATGTCTAGTCAATTCATTAAGTCATGAGCACACACTAGATGCCTACTCAGGGTCAAGGACAATGCTTTTCTTAAGTATGTCAAGAAAAGGTGTTCCTATTTTTATATTATGGCATAAGGTTGAATAAATAATAACTAAGTTCCTACATTACTGCAACACAATATACCTTGTGGTTATGACCAAAAACAAAATTGTCTTCAATTGTTTAGTAATTCATTTCAAACTGTCTTTGAGCCCCTTAAATTCATTGTGGACAATCTTTTGATCATTCTTGGTATATTGACCCATGAGTTATTGTTGTTGTTGTTGTTGTTATTGTTGTTATTATTATTATTATTGCAATAGATAGGCCCTCATCCTAGAAGGCCAGTGAATCTTAACCTGTCTGTGGTCACAGTCACCTTTCAGATAGATTGGGCAAATTCAAAGTTGTCTGGCTATCCTACACAGAAAGCCATATACCTTCTCTTCAGAAAAATTTCACATGCTTAACACACTAGCTTCCCTCAAGTTTTAGGAAGTATATAAAAGCAGAGTCAACAAATTTTCTATAAAGGCCAGATAGCAAGTATGTTAGGCTTTACGAGTCAAGAGGCAAAATAATAGTTATTATGTAGGTAACCTAAATAACAAGAGGGAAAACAAAGTCCCACAGATTTAGCTAACAAATCCAAAATAAAGTAATAATTGAGTATGATTTGGGAAGGAAAGAGAAATAGAGATCTACTAATGAGAAGGATGGAATTGGGAGGAGAGGGAAAGGACTTGCTTAATTGTGATTCAAATTAATATTTTCTATCATTCAATCAACTAGCAATGCTCATTTGTAAAAGCCGTTCTTAGCAAACACACACACACACACACACACACACACACACACACACACACACACTTTCTTAGCTTGAGAATCTTAGCACAGGCAGTGAGCTGGATTTGGCCCCAAATCCAAAGATCTAGAGACCCTATCTAGAGACCATATCTAGACTCTCTTTGGGAGGTCCTGCTGGGGTTGTGCATACATCTGGGCATAGCTGTTCATCACTTTCCAAACCTGTGTCTTGAAATAAGCCCAACAGAGAGGCTTCCCCCGGGTGAGCAAGGATTCTAAGTGCAATGTCCCCGCAGCAGGGCTGACTGGCTGCTAAATTGGGGCCACATTCCTACTGCTGGGAGCTGTAACTGGGAATGCTCTAGTATACTAAATTCTATTAACCTAAATTCTGTGACCTCAATAAAACCTTCTCAATAATCAGCAAGAATAACCATGCATAGAAAAAGAAATCCTTTGCCTACTGTTTTAAAATTGAAATGTAAAGAAACACAGCAATGGATAAGGCTTTTTAATGAACAAAATTGTTTCCTTAATCTGCAGTTATCTTGCAATCAATACTCACTTGCAGAATTTTTTTGAAAAAACAACATCTTGCAGATGTAAGAGCTTAAAATAAAGCACAATAAACTAATCAAGGAGCAATATTCCACAACAACCACCAAAAAAAAAAAAAAAAAGATAATGTTGAATTTTAGCCTTGCCTTCACAGTTCATCTCTTTCTCCTTAGAGCATTCTATAGTAACAGTCAATCACAAGAGAAATGTAATTCTATATAATGTTTTTAGGTCTATAATGTGTGAAAAGCTTAGGCCACTAAGAAGAGCCATAAATGCATTTCATTGTCGGTTAGAAACCATCATTTCATTTCAGTAATGGTTAAATAAAAAAATAAATGCAACTCTGTCGGGAGGGGTGTCAGTGGCAAACTTGATGCAAGTTCTCCACCTACTGGAAGTTTTAGAAAATGTGTAATAAAATTAAAATGTGGGCACAGGTGTAAAAGCAGAGCCAGAGACAAATAGGCAGAGAATAGTGGTTGACATTTTGTTTATCCATCAGTGACATCATACAGGATGTTTGTCTTTCTTCTTGCTTATTTTTCCCCTTCCTATCCTGTCTCAGGTCAGGTTCCTAGGATAAAAAGCAGGTATTTGCATGCAGGAAGTTCATTAGTGACCACTGTCAGGAAGGACACCTGTGAAGGAGTGAGGGTGTAACACAGGTACAGTGTCACTCATCTGCTCTAGATGATTGCATAGAGGAGTAGAAGCAAGTCAGGGTTCAGTGCTTGTCTACCCTTGGGACAAGCAGCAGAAGCCTTGGTGAGTGGGAGTCTGTACATCACCTCTCATCTTAGATGCAGTTACTCCATCTTCCGGGTTAGTAGCCAGTTCTTTAGATGGCAGTGGTGAGGCTGGCTGATGACTGATGATGTTGTTATAAGGAACAAAGATCCCCACACCTAGTCCCTGTCCATCTGTATCAGCCCTACACCTGTTTGTCCCTGATGATCCCAGCTTTAGGAACCTCTGACCGATCAGCCAAGCCATCCATCCCTGCTTGTGTATCCATGAACTATTTTTTGTACATGATTAAATGTCCCACCCAATTCCTGCTCCACAGAGTTTCCCTCACCTGTCTTTCACGGCTGGACCACAGTTGCAGTCCCATGTCAGCTTGTATCTTATTCCATGCTGATCTGTTCATGAACTGAGCTTGGCCTTTCCTTCTCCCTCAACTGGTCATAGGGTCCCCTCCCTCACAGTACAGTCCCAGGTATGAGTGAGGGGAGGGACTAGGACCAATCCTTGGTGATATCTCTCCTTTTGCACCACAAACTGATTCTATTACTAAAACTCAATGCAAGATAATGATATGAGGGATGGAGTTAGAATTGGAAGAACAGGAGAGTAATGAATGGTTAAAAGGAAAAAATAACTGCATTGGAGACGGCATCTGGAGCACATCTGGATAAAGGAAGTGGTACATGATAACTTCCATGTATCATGCTCTCTGATTTTCCATCTGCTTCACTTCTTCTCAGTTCCCTCTGGTTCTTTGTTGCCTGGACCCTAACATTAGAATGCCCCAAGGCTCAGTCCCTGGATGGCCTCTCTTTCTTCTTGCCTTTGTATATCATTTAGTTGTGTAGCTTTAAGCATCTTCTCTATGCTTATAGGTTCCAAGCCTACATGTCTAGACCAGACTTCCCCTCTGCTCCAGAGTTGGGCACCAACTGCCCACTCACCACATAAATCTGGATGACCAGGGAATGGGCTTCACACTACTGAGTTGTCCACAATTGAGCTTCAGCTACCTTAAGTCATGCACATCTCAGTAAAGGACAACTTTATTTTTTTCCCATTATTCAGACCAATATAGTGGGGTCATTCTCAACTTCTTTTTTCACTTCCATCCCCTATTTAAGACACATCCAGAATCCAACCACTTCTTTGGCAGCAATTGCTGTGGTTCAAGACACAGTCTGTTCCCATGCTGCTATTTTGTTTGAGTAGGTCCCTTTGCCTTTGTCCCTTCCATCT